CCCCCCTTCGTGTCCAGCTAGGCAGGGAAGGGGAGGAGTCCACGGAATAATTTAGTCTTGGAAGTCTCCCTCAGGGGTTTCAGGGTGAGACCCCACTGAGGGATTTCAATCTGGGGTCTCCTCTATGGGGTCTCAGTCTGGGATTCTCTTGAGGGGATCTTGGGCTGCAGGGTCCTCCGAGAGACCTCATTCTGAATTGGGTGTTTCTTAGATTGGGCCTCTCAGTGCTGAGCTCCCTCAGTTGGTTGTTTCAATCTGCAGTGTCCCCCCCCGCCCCAATACACACTCCTGATTAGACGCGGGCGTGTGGCGGGGCGCAGGCTCCCGTATTGGGAAGGACAGGACCCAAAGCTCCAGCTGAGCGGGGATCCCGTCAGGCAGTTCCAGGCGGGTCCTCCTCCGGCCCAAGGGGGTGTGTGCGTGGGCTGGGCTAGCGCGGGGGCGGGGGCACCCGGGTTCAGGGGTCGATCGCCGGGCGCGGGGCGGGAAGGGGGGCACCACGCGCGGTCGGGCGTCTCCTCTCTTCAGAATCAACTAGGAAACTTGACACCTCCGGGCTCGCGGGCGGCGCCCGCCTGCAGCCTGAGCGCTTATAAACCTCAGCCCGAGGCTGCGGCGTGCTGCACCCCATCTCCGCGACTTGCCCCGGTGAGTCGCATCCCCCTAACTCTGGAGGGAGCCTGGGGACCCTTTTTCCTCCTTGGGCTCCCAGGCCCCCCCGGATCCCGCTCCGATCGGGATTCAGGAAGTGGCTTGGAGAAATCAAGCCTCAGTCCCTGCGAGGGGGGGGCTGGAAGGAGGGGGGCAGCGGGCGCGTCCCCTCCCTCCAGCGCTCCCCCTGACCCTGGGGCTGAGTGCGGGGACGGAGCCCTTCCCGGGCGGCGGCCGGCGGAGAGGCCCATCGGGGCCCCCGTCACCCGGAAACAGGGGTGGGAGGTCTGGGGGTCCTGTGCTCTGCCCGCCGGCCCAGCTGGGAGGCGGGGACGGGTCACCGCGAGGCCGGGTCTGGCCCGGGGGAGCCTCCCAGCCTGGACCACAGATGGGCCTTTGCCAGACCGAGGCTGCTCCACTGGAAGGAGCAGACGCAGGTCCTCACACAAACAAACAAGCTTTGGAGACAACCTCCTGACCCTTTGAGGCTGAGTGAGATGCCAAGAAAAGGCCCTTGGGACTGAACCCCACGGAGGGGTGGGAGACTGAGAGGATCCAAAGAGGGCCCTCAGGCTGAAAGCCTCCTCCCTGACAGAGGGGTCTCCAGGCTGAGGGACCACCACAGAGGGGTCCTTAAGACACAGGCACCTCAAAGGGACCCGTGGACTGAGATCTAGAGAGGAAGGGGCTTCTGGAAATGCACACCCCTTCCCCCACCTACACTGAGGTCCCCCGTGCCCCAAGCTCCATCCCTGTCTCCTTCCTTCTCCCTAATGCCTTGTCCAGGCAGAGCCCTGAGGTGGTGACCCAGGGCAGGGGCACGCTGGCCTATCCTGACTCTCCCTTTCTCTCCTTCTCCACCCAGCAGGTCAGCCCAGTGAGGACATCGGCTATAGCCCCAGGGTCCTAATGGCAGCAGAGCCACTGACTGAGCTGGAGGCAGCCATCGAGACAGTCGTCACCACCTTCTTCACCTTTGCAGGGCGAGAGGGTCGGAAGGGCAGCCTCAGCATCAATGAATTTAAGGAATTGGCCACTCAGCAGTTGCCTCACTTGCTCAAGGTAGGTAGGCGTCTCTGGGCCTGAGAGTTTGGGAGACAGTGACTGTGGGACAGAATGTATGTGATGTGATAATGTGACCACAGGTGTGTTGTGGAGAAGGGTGTAGGTGACTGCTTGTGCAAGTGGTTCTGGGTGTTCTTGCACAGTGTGTGTATGTAAGGAGGTAACACTGTGTCTGTGTGAGGGTAAGTGTGTTATTGGGCTTTATGTTCCCATCAGAAGATGCTGTTAGGTTCTTGTGTCTGCTTTGTGCCTCTCTGGTCTCATTTCCCTTACACAGGACTGGACCCAGAGCTGCTTCCAGGAGATCCATAGACTATCAGAGCTAGGTGGCCAAGAGCAAACACGGTCCACATTCCTCACTTAACAATTATGGAAACTGAGGCCCAGCTGTGGGAAGGGGTTTGTCAAAAACACCCAACAACAGCAAAAACAAAAAAACACAACCCACAGCCCAATTCATGTAGTCATAGAAGCTCAGAGACCTGTGGTTACATCCCACCCTCTCTGGGAATCCCCTCAGTAGCATGCCTGACAAGGTCATTCCTTCTTTCCTCACTGGACAGATTAGGGATTTAAATTTCATCCACACTGGTTTGGATGAAATTTCTTCTTTCATCCAGTTTCTTTTACATCCTTTCTGAAAACTCACGGGCACATAAAAGTGTATGAAGATGTATTTAAAAAAACAAACAGCCTGCCAGCATGGCTCAGTGGTTGAGCGACAACCCATGAACCAGGAGGTCATGATTTGATTCCTCCTCAGGGCACGTGCTGGGGTTTTGGGCTTGATCCCCAGTAGGGGGCGTGCAAGAGACAGCCAATCAATGATTCTCATCATTGATGTTTCTATCTCTCTCCCTTCCTCTCTTTGAAATCAATAAAAACATATGAAAAACAAAACCAAACCTCGTAGTCTATCATTTGCAAAATCCCCTACATCCATAGACTTCCTGGACTTTTCCCTTCCTCTTCTCACAGGAAACTTTAGGCTCTCTCCTGAAAGTACAGCATTTCCTGTAGCCTTGTCAAATAGTGACTGTTTTTTCTTCCAAATCCAACTTCCTCTGGGCCTGGAAATGGAGGAGTGACCTCTTTGCTTTGTATCGCTGCTTCCAGAACTTAGTTTTTCTTCTTCCTAAGATGCCTAGCTCCTTGGAAGCTCATATACCACCTGCCTTTCTTATAGCTCTTCAGCTCCTAGCTTATTTTTTTCTCATCACTGGTACTGTAATTATCTTCAGTATCCACAGAGACAGCTCCTCTAGCACCTGGGCCTTTCCATTTCTTGAACTCCTCACTTCCAAAGATTCTATCTTCTTGCATCTCAACATCCCACTCCTCTGTTCATGCTTCAGATTTTGTCATTACCAAAATAACTCACCACTTCCAAAATCTCAATTTTAAGCCTCCCTTTCTGTGTCTTCTACCTCCTGTCGTTCTGATTCTGCTCCTCTGTAGGGCAGTAAAAATGAATTTTCCCCCTACCTTTCTGTGTTCTTCTGGCTAGTGTAATAATCAAATTAACATGAGATAGATTAAGAGGAGAAAATAACCAAATTTAATACATATGTACACGTAGGGATTCCATAAGAATATAGGGCCCGAGGAGAGTTGAGGCTGACATGCCATTCTCGAGCTAAGGAGAAGGGGAGAGGATTGTGATTTGGGACTTGCATTTTAGGCATTTAGGGGGAAGGTCAAAGGCTTTTTCCTGAGGTTTTCTAAAAAAATTCTCACCAGTGGATATGTTTATTGATTTTAGAGAGAGAGGAAGGGAGAGAGAGAGAGAAGCATTTATGTGAGAGAGAAACATGGATCAGTTGCCTCTGTTATACGCCCCAACCGGAGATTGAACCCACAACCTTTTTTGTGTACCGGACAATGCTCCAACCAACTGAGCCACCCAGCTGGGGCCCAAGTCTTGTTTCTTGAAAATAATCAGCTTAACCAGTTTCCACCCCGAATGGCATATTTTGGGGTGGCAAACTCTGCTCCTCTCACCTCTATCTAGTTCTCCCACTCCAGCATTTCCCTGACTCCCTGTCACATTTTCAACTTCCATTGTTACCCCTTGTGTATTGATTTCCCCTCTTCCTCAGCTGGCTTCTGAGGCTCATCCTTATAACCACTCCCTCAACTCTTGATTCTGTTTCTCTTTGTCCTTATTTGACAAATCCCAACCTAGGTTAAATCCAGCATTTCATCTTCATGAACTTGCTGGTTAAATCCACCATTCTGACCCTGGCCGGGTAGGTCAGTTGGTTAGAGTATCCTTCTGGTTGTGGGTTCATTCCCTGGTCAGGGCACATACGAGAATCAACCAATGAATGCATAAATAAGTGAAACATCAAATCGATGTTTCTCTCTCTCTCACAAACCAATTAATAAAAAAAATCCTCCATTCTGTGCTTGTACTTATACAGCAGAATCTGGCTGGAGAAAAAAGCACCACCATGTTGACTTGTCTTACTTTAAGTCTATAACCACAACCCCAAGGGGACTCTCAGCAATGCCTGCCAATTCTACTATATTTCCCTGGTTGATTGATTCATTTACCAGCTCTTTCAGATTATTATTTCACTTTTCCTTTTGCCTAAAACTCTAGTACCTCCTTCCACATTCTTCCTCTCTCTGAGAAATTTTCTCACTGAGAAAATTTTTTGCAAACATCCTTGTTTGTATATCTTTACATACTTGAAGGGAAGGTCTGGTGGTACAAATACCAGGTCAAAAGGCATGTATGTTCTTAATTTTTATAGATATTACCAATTTACCTCCCAATAAGTGTGTACCAGATTTCATGGCCACCAACAGTGCATGGGAATACCTATTTCCCATGTACTTGCCCAAACTGAGTGTTTTTTCTCTAAACTATTTTATTTCAGTAATGAAAAGAGAAAGATTAATTCCTTTAGATGCACAATTAAAGCCTAAACAGAGCCTTACCAAGACTTTTTGTTGTTGTTGTGTTGTATTTTTAAAAAAATCTTATTTATTTGTTTCTTGTAGAAAATCTCATTTTTGACTGGACTCAGAGGTAGAAGCTCTTAGAGAAGACAGCCCATGTCTGTTCCTGGTGTTTTTCTTTGGCCTCCTTCATTCTCTTGGCCCTAAGTTTAGTATATTCTGCGGCTTCTTCTTTATTTTTCTTACTATGCTGTTTATTTTATTTTTTTAAAATGTTATATATTTTTTAATCCTCTCCTGAGGATATGTTTATTGACATTAGAAAGATGAAAGGGGAGAAAGAGAGAGGGAGGGAGTGAGAGAGAAACATCTATGTGAGAGAGAGACATGGCTGCCTCCCATGTGCACCCCGACCGAACCCAAAACCTCACCAGAAATCAAACCCGAGATGATGCTCCAACTGAGCCACACCAGCCGGGGCAGGACGCTGATTCTTTAGAGCAATCTGCTGACTTTTGTATTGTAAGACTCATGGAGTAAGACTCACATGTCTATTTTTAAAAAAGAATTTTAGTAACATTTAATCATGTTAAAAAGAATCCTGTAGCCCTGGCCCGTGTGGCTCAGTTGGTTGGAGTTTCGTCCTGTTTACCAAAAGGTGGCTGGTTCCATTACCAGTCAAGGCACATGCCTAAGTTGCCGGTTTGATCTCCAGGCTGGGTGCCTAAGAGAGGCAACCGATCCATCGATGTTTCTCTGTCTTACTCTCTCCCTTCCTCTCTCTCTGAAAAAAATCAGTGAACATATCCTACGATGAGGATTTAAAATAAAAAAAAGCATCCTGTAGATTGTTAATTGGGATCATGTAAATAAATATATTTTAGGGAAAATTGGTATCTTTACACTATTGAGCCTTTCTCTCTAAAGAAAGGTATGTTTTTATATTTATTCAAGTTTTCTTTTATATTAAATACATATTCTGAGACCGAATTTCCAAATATGGTGGGGCTCACCTCACTGACATAACAAAGGATACCTTTATCACTCTCAACACTTTAGGAAATTCCAAAGGTTTTGGGAGTTGTGAGTCAGGAACTGTGGAGAAAGACCACATACTGTATATATGAGAATTATATTTTGGTCGGTCATCTGAATGACCAAATATATATTTTTTATAAATCACAATATTGTAGATATTCTTCAGTTCAGTTTTCTTCACAAAACCTAAATAGATTTCTACATTTATGCTAAGTGCTTTATTTTTTACTATTTTTAATGGGATCTTTCCTATTATAGTTTCTAACTTGTTAACATTTATATACCTAAAAGGTATTGGTTTTTGAGAATTAATATTATAATCAGATACTTTATCATTTCTAATAGTCTTTCTTTTTGGGTGGGGGGAGACATACGTAAGGGCATAAGCTTTGAGTCAGACAATCTATGTTCAAATGCAGGTTCTAGCATATCATCCCTGGTTAGTTATTTAACCTTTCAGAGCCTTAATTTCTCATCTGTGAAATGGACTCATAATAATGTTTTTTGTTGGATTGATCTTGCATTTATTCAATCAGCACTCTGTCCTGTCCTGATGCTGTTCTAAGCTTTGGGTTACAGTGTGGAATAGGCATCTGCTGTGTGCCAGACATTCTCCCAGCATTGGCATTACAGTGGTGAACAAGATGCCAAGGTCCCTGTGCTCATGGAACCTTTCATTCCAGCAGATTATGAAGATTAAATGAAGTCAAAGCGAGTAATGTGTTTAGCATAGTGCTTGGAACAGTCAGCACTATTAAGTGCTTACACTTGTTGAAATGTTAGCCTTTATAATTCCTTCATTTTTTATCTAGGTACACAATGATATAATTGCTGATATGATAAGAAGTGAATTTCCCTCTTCTTCCCTAATACTTATTATACCTTTAATTTCTTTCTCTTGACTAATTGTGTGTTTTCTCTCCCTCCCCAGATAGTGTTACACTGGGCATCCTTGCTTTCCACTGGCAATGCTTGTAGTATTCTACAATTAAGCATGATTGTCACTTTAAAAAAAGTCTCCGGTACCTCTTACACGGATTAGCTTTGTGCCATCTATAGAACAGGCAAATTTTCTCTACCTTCATCCAAATGTTGATTCAGATGTTTAGCATCAAGCTGTGCCTGAGGCATCCTTCTCTGATTTGACATGGACGAATTGTTAAACAGTCCACTTTTTGGTTGTGATTGTTTATCTGGCAACAAATCCTTTGATCTTGATGGTCCAGCTTATAATGTCCTTTGATTTCACAAGCCTGTCATGAGAGACTTAGTCAAGGGCCCCCTAGAAAAACAAACACCTTATGTCTTTGCTATTCCCCTGATCTACCAGGCCAGTGACTCAAATGGAGAAATAAGAAGACATCAGGTTCATGCGGATGAGCAGCCAAGTGCTGTGAACTTCTCCAGCTTTCTGGGAACGAGGAGGATGGCCTGAGAAGGCTCTGAGGGTGGTCAGAGTGGGTCCATGGTTACAAGGGCTCCCCGAGTATCCTTGGACAAATCCCAGGGCTCGTGTTGTGGTGTGCGGGAACCCGCCTGCACCTGCAGATAAGGGCCCATTGTGTGCATCTTTTCCTAGCTCTGTGTTCATTGACATGTTTGTGGTTCATAATCTCCTGTGGTGGAAGTATTTACACTCCAGCAAACACTATGAATCAAGTCCCCCACCTTCCTGTGCTCTTGCCCCTTGGTGTTGGGCACCACGGCACCACAATAGCACTGTCTTGGGCTGCAACCCGGTCTCGAAGGTATGGGACAGATCCTCATGCTCCCTGAGGGAAGGGAATGGCAACTAGCAGTTCTTGCCTCTCTCCCTGTCTCAGAACCCTTGTTTCTAACCCCACCCTTCCCTTTGGTGTTTCCTCAGGATGTGGGCTCCTTGGATGAGAAGATGAAGAGCTTGGATGTGAATCAGGACTCGGAACTCAAGTTCAATGAGTACTGGAGACTGATTGGGGAGCTGGCCAAGGAGATGAGAAAGGAGAAGGCCCTGGAGATTCGGAAGAAGTAGAGCCAGCTGGCCAGGATGGGGCGGGCAGGGCAGGACCAGGCAGAACCCCATTCCCCTCAAATAAAACCTCCTCCTTGAAACATGAATGTTTCTTATTCACACCCACCCCGATTTCTTCTCTTGAGACTAAGAGTTGGGAAAGCTCTGCTCTGATCTGAAGGTGGGTCCAAAAATTATGAGCTCCTTGAGGACCAGGAATGTATTCATCTTCAAATATTCTGCAGCATCTAGCACCTAGGTCTTATGCTTGGGGTGGGTTGTTCAACAAATAAATGGTTGTTGAATGAATATATGAAAGGTAGAGACAGGGCCCTGAGGCAGGTGAGGTGACTCCGGTGCCTCCTGGGGCTCAGGAGCTTGGTCTTGGCTCCCATTTTTCTTATTCCTGGGGTTTGTGTCATTGGATGAAAATGATAGCAGTGAACATGTGTTGAGGGCTTGCTATGTGCCAGGCACAGTGCTAAACATTTTCTTGCATTATCTTAGTTAATTCTCACAGCCCTTTGAGGTAGGTTCTATTTTTAAGTCTTGTAAAAAAGAGATTTTAGAGAGGTTGAGTCACAAAGACATGAACAGGTGGAACTGGGTTGAAATTCCAGAGCCTCTGATGAACTGGCATCCTCTCTGGATGGGTGCTTGGAGACACTGGACCCCCCTTCCCTCCCCCCTCCCTCCAGAGCAGGGGTGAAGCAGAAGGATGGACACAAGGTTCTGGTTTGAGGACTGTGGGGTAAGGAGGTGCTGCAGGATGCAGAACATTAGAGCACCATGGTGCCCCTCTCTGTCCTTGGCTTGAGGGGAATGTTGCTTGCATGGCCTGCCACCAGAGGGAGCAGGGGTGGGGCAGCACAGTGGTTACCGTCTTCCAGGGGATGTTCGTGCATGGCATTGGGTATCCATTTGGGGCAGCTATTAGCCCGGAGGGACATGTAAGTTTCCTACCTCACACCATGAAAGGGTCCTAGATTGAGACCTAAGTGCCCCTAGACAGAGACCTCAGAGGGATCCCCAGACAGGGACTCCCAGGTGTCATTTGTCTGAAGTATTCCAGAGGGGCTCCCACACTCCAGGGTTTCCCCACAGTGAGAGACCCTAGAAGGGATCCCTAGACCGAAAACCCCCCCTTTTGTTAATCCTCACCTGACGATATTTTTTCCATTGCTTTTCAGAGAGAGTGGAAGGGGGGAGAGAGAGAAACATCAGTGTGAGAGAGACACATTGATTGGTTGCCTCCTGCATGTGCCCCCACCANACATCAGTGTGAGAGAGACACATTGATTGGTTGCCTCCTGCATGTGCCCCGACCAGGGCCGGAGATCGAGCCTGCAACCGAGGTATGTGTCCTTGACCGGAATTGAACCCAGGACCCTTCAGTCTGTGGGCCAACGCTCTAACCACTGGGCAAAATCAACTAGGACAGGCTGAGGCACTTTTGGGGAAGCCCTCAGATTGAAGGACTTTCAGAGGGTCCTCGGAGTGATACCCTCTCAGAGGAACTCTCAGAATGAGACACTCTTGGAAGGGCCTCATTGAAACAGATGCCTCTCACTGAGGCCACAAGTATAGGGGAGTACTAGAAGGGGCCTTAGAGGGGCATTGGGAATGGTCACCTAAAATTAAAAGGATGGAGTGAGGCAACAAGCTCTTATTTGAGACCCAAAAGAATATCCTGGAAGCACTGATTGAGGCAGAAACCCAGATAGTGTTCTGATTAAGAAGTGAAGGCAAGAGGCTCTATATGAGAAAGGGAAGGAGAATAATTACAGGAGGAGAGAATGAAGGATTTATTATTATTTTTTTGTTAACCCTCACCCAAGGATATTTTTTCCATTGATTTTTAGAGAGAGTGGAAGTAGTGGGGGGAGAGAGAGAGACATTGATTGGTTGCTTCCCACATGTGCCCTGACAAGGGCTGGGGATCAAACCTGCAACCCAGGTATGTGTACTTGACTGGGAATTGAACCCGGGACCATTCGGTGTGTGGGCCGATGCTCCAAACACAGCCACATCAGCCAGGGCAAGGATTTATTTATTTATCTATTATTTATCTTTATTTTAGAGAGAGGGGAAAGGAGAGAGAAACATCGATTTGTTGTTCCATTTATTTGTGCATTCATTTGTTGATTCTTGTCTGTGCCCTGATGGGGGATCAAACCCACAACCTGGTGTATCAGGAGGATGCTCTAACCGACTGAGCTACCTGGCCAGAGCGATGAAGGAATTTTTTATGGTGTTAATAAACTAAAGAAGGAATTTCTATAGGTGCAGATAAGCTACCATAGTGATGCTAATTCTAAGGAATGTCTTGAATTTTCAGTCTGTTCTCTTTTATCTTTGCAAACAGTTGTTTGGGATACAGTGCTGTTAGGCCCAGTCCAAAGGTTATTTTGCCCAGTTTTAAAAGGTTTGAAGAGTAAGATAAACATGGCAGTTCCTCTGGGATGGCACCCTGAACTCCATTTTAAAGTGGTTCCGTTTACATTACTTTTTTACAGGAGTTATGCTCTGATCTCAGAGTTTAGGAAAGGAGCCCAGGAGTGTTAGGGTTTGGGCCAGTGATGTGCGGGCTGTGAAAGAATTCACAACTAAGAGAAGAGATGAGGAGAGGAAATTTATTTTATTTTCCAAGGGAGGAAAGGGCCGATGTATTGCTAGTCTATAAAGGGCAGGAAGAAAGAGTGGCTTGTACTTTTCAAGAGCAAGCAGTTGCTCACCTAAAGAGGTGTCTTATCAGTATTTTCCTCAAGCTCGTAAGACAAGCTTAGAACAGAAGTTATGAAGAGTTCAAAAGAGGGAGGCGGGGGTTTGAAGAGGAGGTGGAAAGGGAACTTTCTATTAATTAACTAGCGACTCTTTGGTGCGAATTATTCCCAAGTCGTTAAAACCTCAGGGAGGAGGGTGAAGCAGGAATGCAACCTTGAGAGTATAGTCTTATCTTGCCCCACCGTTTGAGTAGAGAGGCAGTTTGAATCAGGAGCCAGCAATCTCCGCATTTTAATTACCAGGTGCTTCTCATACATTCTGGAAGGCGACAGCAGAGAAAAGGAAAGGCCCCTTTCTGTCCTTAGGAGCTTTGGAGCTTTGCCTCTGGGCCCCACCCCATCCTTGCCCTGACCCCCTGCCCTTCCCCAACTGGGGTTGGGCTGAGTCCCTGGATCTGCTCTCTGGGATGTCATCCTTGGTACTAGATTCTGTGTGTTTGTGTGTGTGTGGTTGCTGTGGAGTGGCTGGGTTAGGGAAGGCATGAGGGAGGGAGGAGCAGGCAGCCCAACCAGTTTGGAGAGGTCGTTAGCTGCCAGATAACTCATTTGGGCCTTGCACATGTGCACCCTGGTTGAGGGGAGCTGAAGGGGAGTCAGGACAGCACCCGGCCTGGCCCCCTCTACCAGGCTGCCCCCCTCTGGCTTCTTCTTCCTGATCTAGCCCTCGTTCATCTCTCTGCCATCTGGACTGAGGAAGGCCGGGGTCTGGGGTCTGGGCAGACTTGAGTGTCACTATCCAAATTGGCCCTGGTGTGTGTGTGTGTGTGCGCGCGCGCGCGCTCTCCTGCACAACATCAAAGAACAGAGTGGTCCCTGAAGACCTCTCTCAACCCATGTGTCCCTCATTCCCTCTGTGCCATGAACCTTGCTTTGATCAGCTTCTGCTTCTCCTGGTTATTAACTCAGGGTCCCTTCACTTCCCTGCCCTATAATTCCTCCAGGTCTTTCCTCCCAAGCTCAACCCTACAGTGTTTCCAAGCCCTCCCCCTCTTCCTCCCCTCCCTCTCTTCCCCTTTCTTTTCCCTGCACTCTGCCTCCTTTTCTGGGGCCAGGGGCATCTCAGACAGCCCTTCATGGCTCCCTCCTCCTGGCAGAGATGGGGGCGGACTCTGGAGCTCTGGCCAGTGGAGGGTGGGGCCCACACAGCTGGCTCACAGCCCAAGCAGCTGCAATAGCAGGGGTGGCTTAGGGATGAGGCCCAGCCCCTTGCCTCTCTTCCCTTCCCCCTCCTCCCCTCCCTTCCCCCAGGTATAAGAGCTGAGCTCAGGTGAGCTGGCTCATCCTGTCCTGTCTCAGAGGCTGTCAGCAGGTAAGGAGACCCAGGGCTTTTCACCCAAAATGGGCTGCCCCCTGTCCAGAAGGCATGCTTAGCCTATCCTACCCCTAGTCTGCCAGGAAAAGGGCTGGGGGGCCAGGCCCTGGAGGCTGGTGTGTTTGCCTGGTACAGGAGTGGGTGAATGGAGGAAGAGGAAGGAGTGAAGCTAAGATGATGAGGCCCAAGGGATTCCCTCTAAATGGGTAGCCCTGGGGGTTGTCCTGGAGCCTGGGTGGGGATGTGGCCTTGTGTGGAGTTGACCCTGACCCCCTAGATGAAGCCAGAATATCTGGGGTGGAGCCAAAGGGAGTAGTTGAAAAAGAAATGCTGGGGTCTCCCCTCACCTCTAGGCAGATCATGAGCCATCAGCTCCTCCGGGGCAGGCTGTAGAACTACACAACTCTCACCAAAGGACCAAGAACACCAGGCACCATGGGACAGTGTCGGTCAGCCAATGCTGAGGTGGGCCCATTCATTCATTCCTGGCCTGTCTTTCTGTTCCCACACTCCTCTTCTTTATCCTGAGGGTCTGTGTTCCCCCATTGGCTTCTGCCCCCTCACCGTGGTCTTGGCCTACCTGCCAAACTCTGGCAGTGAGATCTGAACCCCCTTTCTGGTGCCCACACAGGGTGATGCAGATGGAGCCCTCCCAGGAAGATGATGCCTGGGCCACGTGCTGAGACCTGCCCTGCCTGGGGAGGGGTGTTGGGGGTGGTGGGAAGGAAGCCTTGTCCAACCTGTGGCTCAGGGCAGAGGCCAGTGGGGGTGAGGAGGGCTGGATGCTGGGCTCTGGAGTGGGCGGGAGCCTGTGTGCCTTCCAGCCGTCTTCTGCCCTGTTGGCCTGGCCAGGTTCCTGGGGAAAGCAGGGTGTCGTAAGGTGGAGTGGGGCCTCCCTGATGTGGGTGATGTCCCTTGCCTTCAGGATGCCCAGGAATTCAGTGATGTGGAGAGGGCCATTGAGACCCTCATCAAGAACTTCCACCAGTACTCGGTGGAGGGTGGGAAGGAGACACTGACCCCCTCCGAACTACAGGACCTGGTGACTCAGCAGCTGCCTCACCTTATGCCGGTACTGAGGGGGTGACCCCACACTTCCCAAGCAAGTGCTCCAAGGCCCCACCCACACAGCAACAGCCCCTGGCACCAGCAACCCCTAGTCCTTCCCCCTCGCCAGTGCTGGGTAGGCTCAGGTCCTGCTTCCTGCCCCTGGGCAGGGCGGCGTGGGAAGATTGGAAGGTGCTCCCTTGCTGAGCTGTACTGTCTTTCCTCCTCTCAGAGCAACTGTGGGCTGGAAGAGAGAATCGCTAACCTGGGCAGCTGTAACAACTCTAAACTGGAATTTGGAAGTTTCTGGGAGCTGATTGGAGAAGCAGCCAAGAGCGTGAAGCTGGAGAGCCCTTGCCGGGGGAGCTGAGAACCTTCCCTTGGGATTCTTGGGGGGATGTTGGGGAAAGGGGACCTTACAGACTGTGGGCCTGGAAATAAAACTCCTCTCTTTACCATCACCACACTGTTCCCCAGCCCGCACCTGTCTCACCACTGCAAGGCTCAGGTTCCTAACAGCCCCTCCTGGGGATCTCTGCACTTCATCCTGGGAGCTCCGTGGAGCTAATGGGTCCAGGAATCCCCACCAGAGGGAGGCTCAAGGGGTGGGTTGGGGCCAGGGATGGATGTGGAAGGGTAAGAATGGTGAAAGGGCCATGCCATTTGGTAGTGGGTGCTGGGCAGAGAGGAGCTGGACCATGGGAAATGATTTGAAAGGGACCGGGAACAATGTTGGATATTTGGTATTAAAAAAGGTCTCTAAGAACCTACCCCTCCTAATCTCTTCCCCAACCCAAACTAGCTGTCCAATGCTATATCTTCCTGCCTCCAGCTCTGCCCCTGCCTCCTCCCAGGACTGTCCTTGGGCTAGGGCAGGGGAAGTGAGAGAGTAAGGTGGGGGAGAGAGCAAGGCTAAGGAGGGTGTGACCATGGGAGTAAGAACCAGCTGGGTGCTTGGGCATTTAAAGAATGATGGTTGTTTTGTATCATTTGATTAATAAAAAAATGGAGAAAGTGAAAGATGTCTTGACTGGACAACCTCCCAGGTCCGTGGGTCCATGGGTGAGGGGTGGTTGGGGTGAATGGCAAAGCCATTGGGTGGCATGGTACATGTGGGGCTGCAGTGGTTGTCAGAAGTGAATAGGAACCCACTTTATTCCATAGATTTGGGTTGAGGGTGGTACCAGACCCAAAAGGTGGGAGGCCTGGTCCTCTGTGGGGGACAAGCTCCTCTTTGCCAGTTGGCTCGCCCTCTGGCAGGAGAGGAAGGTGAGTGCACACCTGGGGATATAAACCTCGGTGTGCTGGAGCCTGGCTCATGATCAAGGGAAATGTGAGGATGATGGCCTGTGTGTGAATCTTTGGGAATTTGAGCATGCTCTCGGTATCAGTTTCCTCATCTGGAAAATGGGGATATTAATAGTACTTCCCTCACAGTATTGCTAGGAGGATAATTTGAGGCATCATATACTTAGCAGAGAGCCTGGCACAATGAGTGTGCCCAGTGAGCTGAAGTCACAGCTGTCAGAGTTGGTGAATGGGCCCCCTCTGGTTTCAGCTGCTGCCCCATAGGGATGTGGAATTGGCCAGTTTCCTTGGGTACCTCAGGGAAGGGCTAGAGGGTGTTTCCGGAAGAATCTTCTGCTGTACAAGAGCAGTCCCAGGGAGGGGGTCAGGAGAGCTCCTGTGGGCTGACCTGGAGATGAAAGCCCAGGGGGCCAGAGTTTGGTCCCTGGTGTCTGCTTTCTGACTTGAGCACACAGAAATCAAGCATTACTCCTGAAATCCTAAGGGCAAGGAAGTTTCTGTGGCTAGCCAAGCTGGCCTGGAGTGCTTACTGAACTTGTCTGTTTGGAGCCCCTGAAACTGAGCTCCCAGTGACCTGGGTGAGAAGGGCAGGCAACAGTCCTTTCCCTTCCTTTCTCCACCTGGTAGGTTCTGTCAGGCCCTGCGGGGCTAGGAGGGTGGGGTTGGGGGAAATGCCAGCTTCTACCACTCCTTCTGGGGTGGGACAGAGGGGTGTTAAAAAAGGTGTGTATCCCTTTAACGAGGGCCCAACCCCAGGGCCAAGTCGAGGGAGCTCAGTCACTACCTCCCCACTGAGCCAGCTCGGCCAGGCAGGGAAGGAGGGAGTGGGACACATTCTGGGAGTGCGGCGGGGAGGAGTTCTGGCTGCGCTAAGCGAGGGTTGCTGCTTGGTGGTGCCAGAGCCCAGGCCCCAGAGCCTTGCTGGAGAGGACGTGAACCGAGGAGGCAGGTGAGCACCCCAGGCCCACCCTGGGAGGTCTGGGACTGTCGGAGAGGCCCCACAGGCTTGGGAGGCCAGGAAAAGGGGCAGTAAAGGGGGCCTGGGGAAGGGGGAGGCCTGCCAGAGACTGGGCAGGGAGGTTTCGTAAATTGTTAACTTTCCCAAAAGACTGGTTTGTGAATGGAGAATTCTGGTGGGATTGGGGACTGGAGAGGCCTTCAGAGGAGTGGGTGGGATGGTGAGACCCCCTCCCCAGTCCAGCAGCTGCCTGAGCTCCTCTCCAGGGGCTGGGCCACTGGGCAGGGTGTTTGGGAGCTTTGCCCGCAGCTGCTCCGATCTTCTCCTAACAGAAAAAGGGCAAATGCGTGCTGATGGAGGTTGGGGGTGGTCGGACCCGGGATACAGGCCTCACTGGCCTCTGGGAACTGTGTCCTGGGAGAGGTAATTGGGTCCAGGAAGAGTCAGGGATGGCCCAGGGAGCCTGAGAGCCTGAGGGGAGAAGAGAGGTGGCTTCTCTCCACTTTGGGACTCTGGAAGGTCCCTGGACGCAGGCCCCATTGTGCTCTGAGAGCTGTTCCTTGGGAGGGCAGATGGGACCTGGAGGAACCTGGGTGACATCCTAGGGGAGCCTGGGAGCTCTGGGATAGGGGCCAGGAGTCTGGGCAGCTTCTCCTCCACCTCAGGACCAAGGCAGGTTCTGGCTTGACTGGCTTTGTTTGTCGGAGCCACCTGCACTATGGGAGCATTCCCCTGCCCAGCCCTGTCCGGGTGGGGGTGAGGGCAGAGGTGCTGGGGGAGGGGGTACTGGAGGTGCTGATGAGTGGGGCTCAGCCTTTCCCCATCCAAGAGTAAAGAGCTCTCTGGGTGCTGGTAAAGCCAGGGGCAGTAGAGTGTACGTGTGTGTGTGTGTGTGTGTGTCCACACTAAACTCCTTCAGCTTCACTTGTCTGGAAAAAAATTTAGAGGAGCTACATTCTCCAAAAACACAAGTGGGTGGAAGGTAGATAGATTACCCAAATAGAGGGGGTCAGGAATGGCAGAATTCTTCACTCCGTGTATATATGTGTGTGAATTAGATGCAGTGAGTCCTGTGAGGGTGGGGAGGGGTGAGGCAGGGGCACTTGTATGAGATAGTAGCCTCTGGAACTGGGAAAAGACCATGAGAAGACAGAGCAGAGACTGGGGCTACTGAGGCTGAGGAGGTTAGTTTGAAACAGCCTTGCAAACTGAGTAAAGCACTACCAGCCCACTTCAGATTGCACCTTCCCTGTACATTGAAGTGAATTAAGGAAATGCATGAGTGAATGAGTGAGAATGAATGAGTCAATGAATGAATGAATGAATGAGCAAATGAATGGTGAATAAATGAGTGAACATATTCGAGGTAGATGAAAGGGACACAGAACATGCCAAATTTAGGCTTGAGAGTGGGCTAGGCTCTAGAGAGGATGGTGTCTAGGAGGGATAGGAATCCAGGGACTTATCCCACCACTTGGAAACAATTTAAGACTCAAGAAGTGTGTGTGGTAGTGGGAGGGGAAGGTGAGTTTTGGAGAATATGGTGGATATTCAGGGCTCCAGACTGAAGGGGATAGAGAGCTGAAGAGATGAGGGATGGTTAGGAGGCACCTGGAGAGGTGGGGCCCAGAACCTGGGGGAGGAAGGGTGGGGCTGGAGTGGCTGAGACCCAGGGGCATGGTGTCAGGGCAATTTGGTCTTTTGGAGAAGTCATCAAGCTGAGGTAAGCAGGCTGGGGATAGGGGCTTCTTGGTTGCTCAGTGATGATTCAGCCAAGGAAAAGACAATCATGAGAGGGCTGAAGGCCCAAGGTGAGGGAGTCCTTTGGAGAACCAGTGGCTTCCCCATTTCCACTTTTTTTGGAAGACTCCAATGTACATATCTACCTCTCCCCAACTCTCAGGCCAGGATCTACCTGTAGCAAAGTCAATGTAGGACTTACCTTCTGACAGGACTAGATGCTGCATACACCCACCCCCCCAATCCTGTGCCTGGAACCATCCAGCCTCCTTGGTGGGAGGATAGGGCGGGCAGGGAGGAGCAGGCGGTGGCTATGACATGGGTGTAGTGGCAGAGCCTGTCTTCCAGCCCCCAGGGGAGGGAGGAAGGGCGGAAGAGGGTAGACACCTGACTATCCCACCATGACATTCTTTTTTTCAGAAAGGCACTTATCCAGATGTATCTCCAGGGGTATCCATTTGACTAAAAGAAGGTGTGGGTGGGTGACCCGCAGACTATTGGGAGGTTTGGGAACTGAAATGCAGAGCTGCTGAAGCTACCTCTCTGGGGCGATCGCATACCTGACAGCAGGTGGCCAATTGTCACCCAGGTGCTCACCTGGGTCCTTCCTACTTGGCTGTCAGAGGCCCAGTAGGGACTGGGGCATAGTATCAAGGAAGGGCAGGAGGTTCCTCTGGTTAGAGAAACAAGACTCCAAGTGGTAGGAGGGGTGGGTGGGTTTTGGGGAAAGGGGCAAGACCCCCCCAAATGGGTTTCTTTCCATTTCCTCTTCCTATTTCCCACACAGTTCCTCACTCAGGGAACAATGTCTGGGATGATTAAGGGGGGCGGCCTTCTCTGAATTCTCTTGCCACTCACAAAGCTTGGTTAGGAGCAGACTTGGCACAGTCCTTGCTGAAATGCGTACAGCTTTTAGAATCCTGCAGTGCTGGTTCTGTCAGTGGTGGTCAAGGGGGTCTCTGGCCGGAGACAGTACTCTCTGCCCCCCATTCATTGTGGGAATGAATTCAATCAAGAGACTACAAATGGCAGCAAAGGGAGGAGAGAATTTATTTGTAGGAAAGAGATACACTCAGATAGGACCTGAGCAGGCAACTCAGCTGGCTTAAGCGGAACTGAGTGCCCCAATATCTGGGAGCTTGGAGGATTTATACCCCTAGGCTGGAATGCCCCTAGGCAAAAATATGTTTAAAAAATAAGGCTCCTGCACCCAGGTGTTATGCCACTGGTTAGACCACACCCTGGAGGGGCTCTGAATCTTTCCTGCTCACATAGGGTCTGCTACCTCCATTATCTATTTTCAGTTGTCACATCTCCCACATATTTCCTCCAAGCCCCAGCTGCCTCTCCCAGCTCATATCTTTCTATCTGCCTACTCTAACTGTTCCATACTTCATCCTTTTGGCCACAGACCAGGGGAGAGAAGGGAAGGATTCCTGGTCAGAGATGCTGCAGCCTGACTCCTCTCCCTCTCAACTCTCCTTCCTTCCTGTGTCCTGCCTAATCTCATTCTTCTTTACAAAAAAACTTTGCAAAACAACAACAGTAGTGACAGACATTAGGAGGGTGGTCAGGGGCTTTGCACAACTGATATCAGGACTGGAAGAAAGCAGGGCATTTATAGAACATCTTCCCTGAACAAAGCACTGGGCTGAGCAATACAGGCTAGAAGAGATGCAGAGATTAAAAAAGCAGTGAGCCCTCACTGGTGTGGCTCAGTTGGCTGGGGGTCATCTGGTGCACTGAAAGGTTGCTGCTTGATTCCTGGTCAGGGCACATGCTCGGGTTTTGGGGGTAGGGTGCCTGTAGGAGGCAGCCTGTCAATGTTGCGCTCTCACACTGATGCTTCTCTCTCCCTTTCCCTTCCTCTCTCTCTAAGATATCAATAAAAATATTAAAAAAAAATAATAATAAAGCAGCGAGGTTGTCTATGCAGGATTAAAAAAAATGATCACAAAGCTTTGTCCTGTGTGGTTCAGAATACACCATGGCTGTGTGTCAGAAACACTCGCCTTGCTTCTGGGAATGTCTGGTATCTGGGGAGATAAGACTCAGGTCAAGGCTGCAGCTACACCAGTTAGTGGGCTCCAGCCAATGCCGAGTGAGAGTCTGTGGGAGCCAGGGGAAGAGGGCATGGAGGGCAGGGGTCAGGGCAGGCTTCCTGTAGGAGGTGCAGTTCTGGCAGGCTTCAGCTAGGCAGAGAGGGCAGGGCAGTGGCACAGAGCAGGACGTCCCCGAGGGGATTAGAGAGCAGGTGGCAGGGGCAGGGACTTGGACTGTGGATGCCTAGGCCCTTATGGTGGCTGTTTACCTTCCCCCACCAGGACCTGATGGGCAGGGTGGCTGCAGCTCATTCCTGGGCTTGGGGGCGGGAGGGGAGGCTCATGTGCCCAGGTTCACTTGGTGGGGGCACTGGGCATGGGCGGCAACTCACAGAGTAGATCCGCCTGTTCCCTTCATATCCTGTTATTCAGAAAACTGTATCCGCTGAGAATGTGAGTGTCTTTTGTCCTGGTGTGAGGGGGTGACTGTGTGGCCTCTGGCTGGCTGCGGCTCTGTCTCCAGCTTCGGCAGAGCCAACTGGCTCCTCTTTAGGTAATGGGGTGAAGGGTTGTTGGATCCTGCTGGATATTTTGGGGTGGGTATGAGGGAGACTAGGCTAGTGTGGTGTGGCTGGGAGTCTGCAGAATGTCTGACTCAATGAATCAGGACATTGTCCTTTCCCTGGAGCGGCATGGCCTGGGACTCTGGACTCACTCTCCCGGCGCCTGGCCGAAGGGGTTGGGGAGGGCCTAGGTCCCTACCTCCTGCTTTGTTGCCTGGGTCTGGGGTCTCAGGCAATCTTGGTGTCTTGGTAGGGGACCACAGCTCCTGCTCCCCTCCCCCCAGTCCTCTTGGCTCACCCTAGCAGTTCCTAGCTGTATTTGCCCCCAGGGCAGAGGACCTTGGTGAGACAGGTGTGCAGAGGGTGAGGGGATGGGCACTTACTCTCCTCTTCCCACGGGAGCCTCTTGCTCTCTCTGGGACTCTGACAAGCCCAGTGCCTGGGGCTGGGGAAGGGCCAGGAGAACCTGTTAAGGCAGTTGAGCTGGGGAACACCTGGATTAGAAGAGCCGCATAGTACTCATTCCAGGCTCCCCCCTCCCACCTACCCTGTGCCTCCCTTTCCCTGCCTCCTCCTCCGGGAGGACCTGCCAGCTTGGAGGACCCAGGGCCCTGGGTGAGTGTGTGGGAGGAAGTTTGGCCTGTGGGGTCTCTTCTCATCTGCGAATCTCATGGTGCCCAGGCCCCTCGAGGAGTGAGGCAGTGAGATGGCAGACTGCTACACGGAGCTGGAGAAGGCGGTTGTAGTTCTGGTGGAAAACTTCTACAAATATGTGTCTAAGCACAGCCTGGTCAAGAACAAGATCAGCAAGAGCAGCTTCCGAAAGATGCTTCAGAAAGAGCTCAACCACATGCTGACGGTAAGCCCCCTCCCCCCCCAAGGGCCTTATCTCTCCCCAGCCCCTGAAGCCCTGTGCTCTCAGGGTGTCCTTCCCCTCTGCAGCCTCTGTTCTTTCAGTTACCCCCAAACCAGGGTCTTGACCCCGCCCAGGTCTCCATCCTCTTGGGGTACCCAGGCCTGAGCCAGTGAGGGCTTTGTTCCTGTTTGCCGAGGGCAGAGGCTGCCCAGGCCAGATCCTGAGCCTCTGCCTAGGGTCCTGCCTGGAGGCTCTGTGGGACTGTCACTCTCAGCATTGCTGACCTGGGTTCCTTTCCAGGACACGGGGAACCGAAAGGCTGCTGACAGGCTCATCCAGAACCTGGATGCCAACCACGATGGACGCATCAGCTTCGACGAGTACTGGACCTTGATAGGAGGCATCACCAGCCCCATCGCCAACCTCATCCGCCAGCAGGAGCAGCAGGGCAGCAGCTAAAGTACCCCCACCGTTCCCTCACGGCACTGCCCCGGTGCCCACCCCTCATGCTCTTCCCAGCCTCCTGCCCACCCAGGCCCTGTCCTCACTTCTCCCTCCAGACCTTCTGCTGACCGTTGCTGAACAGGGGGTGGGGATGATGTCAGGGCCTCTTTGTGAGCATCTCAGTCTGGGGGTGCCTCTCTCAGGGTCTCAGTCCCTGGAGCCAGCAGGCCCTGGGAGTCCGGGCTTCGGTGAAATTTCAGTGCTGTTTGGGGACCCCCAAGAGTTTCCTCAGTCCATCTACCCTTCCAACATCTGACGTTCCTGCCTAACTCTGAGTCTCTCCTGACCTCTGGAGGTCAGCTCGCTGCTCTAGGTCTTCCTGCTCCTGGCATCAGCAGCGGCCACCTCTTCCCTTCCCCTTAGCCCCTCTGCTGGGGAAAGGCTGCCAGGGACTGCCCTCCAGGTGCCTCTGGGTCTGGGAAGAGATAAGCAGGGTTGAGCTCGCTCCCTCCTCCTTAGCCCCTGAAGCATGGCAATAAAGGCTGGATTTGAAATTTATGTCCCTCTCACTCAGTCCCTTTGTGATGATCATTAAAACCTTTCCACTCTTGCCCTGGCCGGTGTTTCTCAGTGGTTAGAGCGTCGGCCTGTGCACCAAAGGTTCAGGGGTTCGATTCCCAGTCAAGGGCATGTACCTGGGTTGCAGGTTTGATCCCTGCCCTGCCCTGGTCGGGGCATGTGCTGGAGGCCACCAACCCATGCATCTCTCTCGCATCGATGTTTCTTTCTCTCTTTTTCCCTCCCTCCCCCCACCTCTCTCCCTCCCTCTCTCTCTTTCTAAGAAATCAATGGGAAAAATATTCTTGGGTGAGGATTAATTACAACAAAAAACACCTTTCCACTCTTTGGAACCTCCTCAAGCTTGGTGGTCTTTGCCCTGGGCCCCTGGCAGAGCAAGAAAGAAGTAGCGCTCTTAGATCCCAGCGGGTGCTGCCAGCCCTGGCCCAGCAGCTCCTTCCCTTCAGCTCCGTGAAGGGCCAAAGGCCACATGTCACCATCTTGAGCCCTCCTGGGCTAGACTAATACTCACTTTCCAGCCACACAGTGTGTCCCATGTAGTCCTTGCTGCAATTCTATGAGAGAGGGACCATGACCCTGTCTTGAGCCATGAGTTGCATGGAGGCCCTGAATGCTCATCAACAGATTCTAATACACAGAGAATTTGGTGGGATGGGAGAGTATGGGTGCGAGGAGAGAAGGGTGTGGGAGGCTAGAGTTGGAACTGGGAGAGGGAAAGGAAATCACAGCTTGTAGCTGCTGGAGGGGACAATGCCAGCTTCTCTCTTCTTGCCCTGCTCTTTCACTGATGAAGCCCCTGCCATGGAGAGATGGCCTGTGCTCTGTGAGAAGGCAGAGAAATGGCAGGAAATCCAGCTTACAGAGCTCTGCATCCCTGGTTTTTGACCTGGGATAGTGTACGCCAAGATTATGATTTTTCTAAAGATGCACAGGCACAAACAGTTTTACTGGAATCCATTTGCAGATCCTCAACCTTCTAAAATTGACTTGCCTCAGAACAGGTCTGCAGGTAAGGTCACAGGCTGGTGTCTCCCACTTCTTTCACAATAACCTTTCCCTAGGTAAAAATAGAAAGGGTTACTATGCTGCCTTGACTGAATAGTGAAGAAGAACTCATTCACATATTTGGAGGGATATATATCTACATCTACATCTACATCTACATCTACATCTACATCTACATCTACATCTACATCTACATCTATATCTATATCTATATCTATATCTATATCTATATCTATATCTATATCTATATCTATATCTATATCTATATCTATATCATCTATATCTATATATCTCTATCTATCTATCTATCTATAAAACACACAATATAATATATATAACATACATATAATGTGGTGAAAAATACATTACAAATTTACCCTCAACACATTTTAAGTGTACATTACAGTATTGTTAACTATGCACAGCCAATCCCTAGAACTTTTTTATCTTGCATGACTGAAACTACCCATTGAACAACATCTCCCCATTTTCCCCTCCCCCTAGTTCCTGGTAACAACCATTCTACTTTATATAAGTGGAATCATGCAGTATTTGTCCTGTGACTGGCTTATTTCACTTAGCTTAATTTCAAGTTTCATCCATGTTGTCGCATACGACAGAATTTCCTTTTTTTTTAAAGGCTGAATAATATTTCATTGCATGTGTATGCCATGCTTTCTTCATCCATCCACCTGTCCATGCCATTTAGGTTGCTTCCACACCTTGGCTATTGTGAATAGTGCTGCAACGAACATGGGAGTGTTAATGTCTCTTTGAGATCCTGTTTTCAATTGTTTTGTATATGTACCCAGAAGTGGATTGCTGGGTCATATGGTGTTATATTTTTGAATTTTTGAGGAACTTCCATACTATTTTTCATAGCGGCTACATCATTTTACATTGTTAACAAGACTGCACAAGGGTTTCAATTTCTCCACATTCTTGCCAACACTTGTTATTTTCTGTTTTTTGGTAGTGGCCATCCTAATGAGTGTGAGATGATATCTTGTGGTCTTTTGACTTGCAATTTTCTGATGATTAGTGATGTTGAACATCTTTTCATGTGCTTGTTGACCATTTGTATATCTACTTTGGAAAAATGTCTATTCAAGTTCTTTGTCCATTTTTTAACTGGGTTATTTTTTATTTGCTCTTTTTAAATTTTGTTATTGAGTTGTAGGAGTTATTTGTGTATTTTGGATATTAATCCTTTATCTGATATATGGTTTGCAAATATTTTCTTCCATTCTATAGGTTGCCATTTCACTATGTTGGTTGTTTCTTTTATGTAACAAAAGTTTTTAAGTTTGATATAGTCCCATTTGTCTATTTTCCCTTTGTTACTGCTTTAAGTATCATATTTAAGAAATTGCCTTGCCTATTACAATGTCATGAAGATTCCCCCGTTTTCTATTGCTTTAGAGAACAGCAGGGTTATGGGAGATATAGGGTAGGGCTACCTGGGAAAGTTTTGGAGGAGGGATGAGATGAACTAGAATGTAAGCAGAAGAGGGGCAGACCAATTGAGAGAAAAAGGGGTCTTGGAGAATAAGACAGGGATGGCAATCAGGTGCCAAGGCCTTGATGTGGTGGAGGAGGTGGCTTCTTAAAGCCAAGATGTGGGGGGATGCCATGGGAAATACCAGAGGCACTGCCTTCTTGCCTCCTCCTTTCCAATGACCAGCTCATTTTCCAGTCCTCCACACTGGATCTGTCTTAGAAGAGGGTGGGAGGGGGAGTGTTGGGTAGGCCAACCCCAGAGCTGTTGCTCAGGACCCAGCTCATGCTTTCTTGAGAGGAAGGGCTATGCTCCTTTCAGTGCCCTGGGACGGGTCTGGAGCTCAGCACTTCCATCCTTCCAAGACTTTAGAACAGCTGGCAGGAAATGAGAGGACGCGTGACCTCAGTTAGAGGCCTGTTTCTAGGAGATTTAAGCTCAAACTTAGAGTGCTGGGGAGGACACTGAATTTTAGTGGAGGTCAGAGAGTCTTAATGGCATTCAGAGCTTGGGTTTCCGGGACTAGAGCCAAATAGGCCCGAGAGGGACAAAAGCTGTCACTGCAGAATCAGGCAGCTTGGCCTGAGGCCTCCCTGGGGAGTGGTGGGGTCAGAGAAGGGTAAGCTTCCTCCCTTACCCAGGAGCCCAGGGACCAGACAGCCTGAGCAAGGCCTGAGCAGAGTAGGGGAGAGAGGGCCAGAAGCAAGTCCCACAGTAGTATTGAGAAGGGTCCCTCTGTCTGGAGTCTCACACTGGCCTGGCCTAGTATTGAAACCACTTGGGTCTGAGGTGGTGGGTGCCCAACAAATTGTGCCTGTCAAACCCATCTGGAGCCAGACTTGTCTTTCTATAGGGTGAGAACCTGGCTTGTTTTATCGCATTAGTGTAAGAAACCAAAAACTACCTGTGTCAGCTTTTGTACTTTCTGTACATTTGGTTTTTTCTTTCCATTTAGATTTCTAGTAATTCCTTTTGAAAAACTAAACAGTCCTTTCTGCTGGTCCAATGTTAAAGGTTTTAAAAATATTCTCGTTCAATTCTCATTTGGTCCTTCTGACAACCTGTGAAACAAGGATCATGATCCACCTTTTACAGATGAAGATATCAGAGGCGACGTGACTTAGCCAAGGACACACTGCTGGTGACCAGTAGACCTGTGACTCAGGCCCCATCTTTTGTAAACTGTGTGGGCTGTCCCTTTCTCTTTTCCATTTTGAAGACTGAGAATATTCAAAATGTACTTCTGGTCATGTTTATGTCTTTATTACATAGACATGATTGATTCCGGGCACCAGTGGTATGTCTTGCAATTCAACTCAATTCTGACACAAGCTGCATGGAGATAGTGTGAGATCCCAAGGTTAAGGGCTCAGTCCTATTGAGTCTGCATTCGCTTCAGCTGCCAGTCACAAGTCCAGGATGTTACCTGTGCTTCTGACCGACTGGCTACACATCAAAGGTTCCCATGACCCCCTCTTTGGGTTTGATTAATTTGCTAGGGTGGTTCACAGAACTCAGAGAAACATTGGACTTACTAGATTACTGGTATTATAAAATGATATAACTCAGGAACAGTCAGATGGAAGAGATGATAGGGCAGGGTATGTGGGAAGGGGTGCATGCCTTCCAGGTGTGCCACATCAACCCAAAAGCTCTCTAAACACTGACATTTTTTAAAATGTAGGCTTTATTACATAGACATAATTGATTAAATCATTGGCCACTGCGGATCATTCAACCTCCTGCCCCCTCTCCCATCCCATGGGAGAGTTCTAACCCTCTAATCACACGGTCGGTTTCTCTGGCAACAGGCCTCCATTGTCAGGTGCTTTCCAAAAGTCACCTCATTAACATGAACTGACTTATGGTTGAAATGGGTTTGTAATAAATATCATGACACCTTTTTTGCTCTTATCACTTAGGAAATTCCAAGGATTTTGAGAGCTGTGTGCTAGAAATGGGACCACTAAATATATGTTTCTTATTATACATCACAATAACATAGCATCTGGAGCTTAACATGTCCCAAACTACTACCTTTTGTTTGCCCTCAACCTGCTCCTCCCATGCTTTCCAGCTCGCAATCACTGAAGTCAACTTCATTCTCCCAATGCTCAGGACTGGAACCTGGAGCCTTTTTCAGTTCTGTTAATCTAAAAAAAAAAAGACAAGGTGAGAGGCAACAAGCATTTATTTGAGATCCAAAAGAATAGCTATTTGAGAAGCAGAAACCCCTAAAGTGTTCCCATTAGGGTCTTTTATGAGAATGGGAAGGGGGATGACTACATCAACAGAAGGAAGGCATTTCTTTAGGCGCAGATAGGCTAACACGGTGATACTCACTTTAAAGAATGACTTTAATTTTCAGTCAGGTAATCATAATGTCTGCTTTCCTGTTATCTTTTTGTGAAGATAACAGGAAAACAGACATTAAAAAAAAAATATATATATATATCTTTATTGATTTCAGCAAGAGGAAGGGAGAGGGAGAGAAAGATAGAAACATCAATGATGAGAGAGTCATTGAT